CATGCTGGTGGAACGTTAGGAAACAAAACTTCCAGAACACGGCCACACAGCCTGGAAGACCCACACCAGCCACCAATTATGACTGTGTTTTTAACTTTACAGCAACCATTACTTTCATATTATATTTATTCCAGACTCTATAGACCATCTGTATTGTGTTTTTATTTTTTCCTTCTGGGAGAAGAGGAAGATATTTTTCATGTCTAGGGAAAGGAAACTTTTAGAGGCAGATGAATATTTTAAATTAATTTAAATACTTAATTTAAAATTTTTAAAAATTAAATTCTTAATTTATAAAACAAAACTCTTTGATTTTTTTTTTGCTTCCAGATTATGATATATGAAACTCAGGTCACACAAAAACTAAATATGGTATAACATGTATATAAATAAATGATATTCAAAAGTCTAAGTGATACTTACCTCTAAAATTTCCTGCAGACGTTGCTGTAATTCTTCATTTGACGCCTCAGAATTAGACTCTGAATTCACAACAGAAAACAAAAGTATGTGTCTTTGTTTGGAGAGACAGGATACCAATTAAATTTAACTTTACGTTAAATGAACAGTAATTAGTAGCTGGGAGGAAAAACATAATCCTACTTAACTGTTTCAGATGTGGAAGGAAAAAAGCTATGAGTATAAGGCATAGTAAAGCAACAGTAGCCCTTTAAAGGGTAATTATACTTGCTTACCACAACTGAAAAAATTTGCTGGTAGCTATGCTGTCACTGTAATAAAAACCAAAATCAAACACAAAGGACACATGAACTCTAATGCTTGAGGCTGATATTCCTAATTTTATTTTTAATATTAAAAGAAGATAATAGCATAACAGGCAGTACTTAATCTCTGAACATGAAAGAAATGTTAAGATTTAAAAAGTAATGCTTGCGATGAGTACATTTCAAAATAACTGTCTGAAAAACTTGCATGACCACAGTTCATACAAAATGCTGTTTATCAGGAAGAAGAAAACTGTATTTTCTGAAAAATCTGAAAATATGGAATACTGGGAAAATGTGAATTTCCAGATTCTGGATCAGGCAAAATTATTGCATATTCCCTGACTAATAGTACAACTGTCCAGATAGGCCTATTAAACTCTATTCATGGTATCATCCAAATGTGATACATTTATGCTACCACATAGTTAGCATTAAACTCCTGGGTGCTTAGAATTTACAAATTTGTCCATATTTATTGGAATCTTGCATCTAACTGGTTGAGACAGCAAAAAAAAACCCTGAAGATTATCCATTGACATTCCAGTCCTTAGCAATGTATTACATTTTTGATTGCTACCTCCTCTCAACCATTGCCATGAAGGATAATTTGGGGGGGTCAAGCTAAAAACCCCTTACCTAAATATATCTTCCTAGGAAAACTAAACTGTCAGCTCAGCCATAAAACATTTAGAAGACCAAAGAATAGCTGATAAACTAGGAAAAGACAATGGGAGGCAAGCAGAGCTCTGGGAAAGCAAAAGAAAGTAACTCCCCAGAAAGAAACTCTGTTCATGGAATACTGCCTCTTTGTTTTTCAAAACTCCTATTGTCTTTGTAGTCCTGCCCCATTACCTCTAATTACATCCTAATTGACTCACTGACCTTAGTACTGTAGATGCATGTTGTCCTATATCCAATCAAATACTTTGCTATTGTATATACCCAAATAACTTGCTGCTGTACGCAATCACTTGTATATTCAAATTTGCATGAGTCTATACAAAAGGCCTCTGTTTTCATCACTGTCAATATACCAATTTGTGCTTCAATGCAATTGTGTCCCATGTCAGGTTCAAATGTTCCTCTGGGAAAATTTTCCTACAGTCATCTCTTATTTTTAAAGGTACAAGAACAAATTCATTCAAATATTATTTAATTGTATTTTTATTCAAAATTTGTTTATTTTTTTAAAAAATATCACTTTGTGTGCTCCCATGTACATATAAAATGATGCAGGACCAAATATTTATAATCCAACTACTGTAGCATCAATATAAGCCAAAATGGTACCTTCTTTCAAAGAACATAGACCTGGGTCAAAATTATTTCTGAAACTAATATATTATTTATTTTGCTTTGAACATATCTATCTGGAGGAATTTGTAATTAAACTTCCAGCTATCATCTTTAATCATGGTGGTCTAATGAATGGAATTTCTTCTTTATTGGATCAAAACAGTTTATCAACATTAATTTTGTAAAACTTTATGGATTTCGTTACTTAATAACAGTGTTAAAAGGCTTACCAGGACTGGCTTGTTGTTTGCAGTGAACAAATCCATTCATTCCAATTTTTCTGACTGGCACGTCATTCAAACTGTTACATTTTGAGCAATGAAAAAATACTGCTTCATATTCTTCTCCATTGCTTGGCAAGCTCTTCCTTGCAGAACCACTTCTAGGCCGCACTGTATATTTGTGGAAGCCTTCTCGTTCATAAAGATCACTATGTTTTTTAAATCCATTTCCCAAATCTCCGTATAGCATGTCATCTTCACCTTCTGAGGCATCACTCAGTTTGTTCTGCATTAGGGCTGCTTCACACATTGCCAATATAAATAATTTCTTATTCCAGGCTTCCACACTTTCTCAAAATCTTCAGGTAAAGGTATACAGTACTAGAAAACAAATTCATGAAATTTTAGAATCATGTTCAGATTAAGATGCCTCCATTTTTTAATACTTGTTCTAATATACTTACAGATGTTTTAGCCAGCATCTTTTTTATGTTTCCTAACTGATCCAAATCTCCCACCCTTAAAATTATCTTAAAATTATCTAGATATGTGAAACATTTTTTTACTGCATACGAAACAAAACTGATTGCAAAATTAGATTACAAAAGCCCATCACTGTAAAATTGTGCCTTGCTGGCATAAACACACCCAGGTGCTTTGTTTTCTTAAGCAGAGAAAAAAGAAAGCATTGTTTATCTTAATAATTCACGTATTTTAGAAGGTGCACCAAGTTATATGTAGTGGCTAGTTATGCTACAAATAATCCAATTCTACATTTAAGTGCTTTCCAAGTTTTCTTTGATGGAATGCAGTCATTAAAAATATTCTTATTAAATGAACTCTGAGTAATTATTTTTCCTTTGCAAGCAATATTTTAGATGAAGCATCTGTTTATTTCCATATAAAACTTCTGTGCTGTTTTTACACATAGGAAATTGGATCATCAGAAGTACTGTCAGCAATATGACCTAAAATCACAAACTAGAAACATCCAGCACTTTTACTTTCTGATACTTGTAATTTTTTTTTTAATTGCAACCCAATCATCTCCCCAAAATTTAATTTAGTAAGGGGAAAATATCCTTTTTCTACAAATAATCATTATAGGAACTAACACCATTGTTAACAGCATGTATACATTCATCCTCTTCAGATTACCCCATACTTCCATACAACTTATATTAAAAGTTTGATCCTATGCAGATTTCAGCACAATTAAATATAGATGGATTGGTTAACAGATATTATTCATATATTACACAATGTAATAACCCACTATTTATTCAATTGCCACATCCATTGTACTGTATGTATTAAAATTATCAGAACCTTTATACTTTATGCCTGGGTGACAAAAACCCATTTTAACATTTGATGGACCACTAATCTAATCTTAGAAGTAATCCATTACTAGTACAACATATACTGTCCCTTATGTAGGGTGGAATATATGCTACAGCCCACGCTGTCTGTATCTATTTTACAGGTATCAAGAACCTTATTTGTTAAGCACAGTGGCACTCCATTTGTTCGGAATGGGGTCCCCCGCGTCCTATAAAGCACCTTGCAACTAAGCATTCAACAGTTGCAGCTCTGCCTACCACCTCCACGTTGACCAGAACAAATCCCGTTCCTTGTTGGATTACTTGGTCGGGAAAGACAGCCAAACGCCCGCTGCTCCAACCCAGCTGTAATCTCCTGAGAGGTATGCGGACCCGTGGGCACTCCCAGGGAACACGACACCTTCCACAAACACCTCCCTCAGCAGGCCTCCCCGCGGTTCTTCTATTACAAACGAGCGGCAGGTTTCCACAGAGCCAGAGCCCCGGGACTTCTGTCGCAATGTCCTCCACGCCTTCCTTCTCCTCCCTCGACGAACCCGGCGCCCCAGAGCTACCCGTCGCGGCTCCCACGCGAAACCTCGCGATCCAGCGGGGAGACCCCGCTCTCTCCCCCACCTGGCTGGCACGGCTCTCTCCACTTCCTCCTTTGCCAGCCCAGTTCTGGTTTGCTTGGCCGGGCCCTCCCTTCCTCTCGCAGGGCAGAGCAGAGCTTCAACTTTCCCCGACTCTTGGCCGAAACCCCGCCTTCTCCGCACTTAAAGGTGGAGCGCGGCTCAGCTGGCTCGGTCGAACAGAGGCGGAAGCGGGTTCCTGCTCCAAAGTCGGGGTCAGTCCTCCGCCACAAACCACGTCGGAAAACAGAACCAAAGCGAACAAATTTGACGAACGGAATTCGGGGGGTAACCTTAAAACAACTTAATGATAAATCTTTTAAGATTATTGTTAATCTGCCTTCTATTGAGTCAAATAACTGATCCATTTATCTGACTGATTGCCAGCGTCATTTTTTCCTATTCTACCCGGAGATGCTCCGGATTTTTCATACAAACCGTGCACCGAGTCACTGTATTTTCCTCTGTATGGTTTATCAATTTTTAAAAGAGTTTGCAAATAAAGAATGCAAGGCTTTCTTTTCTGATTCAGGGGAAAAAAACAACACAAAAATCTTACAATATTTCCACCAGGAGAAAAAAAAAATAACGAAAGCTATAAGCTGAAAAGTGTCTAAACTCAATTTTTACTCAATATGTGAAAGTAATTTCAAGATAATAGGCTATCCGAAATTACTTTTATATATGGTAGTTTACTGAAATCTCTTACAAAAAGTTCCTTTAAACAAAGAATATACTAGTACTAGAAATAACGGTCACTCATGCCCTGGTCACCTCCTGGTTGGATTACTGCAATGCGCTCTACATGGGGCTACCCTTGAAGAGTATTCAGAAGCTACAGCTGGCGCGGAATGCACCAGCGTGGACAGTTCTGAATGCCCCCGGGGGAGTGTACATATACCACCACTGTTATGCAAACTGCATTGATTGCCAGTTTACTTCCGAGTCCAATTCAAGGTGTTGGTTATTACCTTTAAAGCCCTTCATGGCACAGGACCAGGTTATCTGAGGAGCCGTCTCACCCATTATATCAGCCTGCGCCGCTCGGTCCGGCAGAAGGGGCATGTTGCAGACCCCACCAGTCAAGGAATTTCGACTGGTGGGATCTAGGAAGAGGGCCTTTTCT